ATAATGGCTTTCCTCCAAATTCTGTATCATGACAGCCCAGAGTTTGTTGTAATGAAGGAAATACATTACTACACTAAAAAGAAATTAGGATACTTGACTCACTGTTGTGATTGCTATAGATACAGTTCATGGCTAACCCAGTGTTTGTTGTGCTTCACAAGATAAAGTCTCTAAGGAGACTGGAAACAAATATTGACTGTGACTTAATGACTTCTTATACTTTAGACTAGATACTATTTCAAGATATTTGGGCATTTCCTATATGGCACATCTAGTAAGTGTCCAAGGGAAAGTACAAGCACTGATCACAATTTTCACTAATTGTTAAATACTCCTGCAGTGTTCTCCAGAAGCTGGGTTCCAGATCTAACAAAAACTGCAATGACAAAAAATAAAAACCAGTCTCTGGCTAAAAAGAGAGTAACAAAAATGAAACATCCCTGTTGCACTATGTTAAAATCTCTTTATTGTCTTTGTAGGAATTAACATTAACAGACTATAGATGCCAGAACCTATTGCTTCTGAAATTTTATGTTCAGTGCTTTGGGGGAAAATACACTGATATTTAGCTTGTGCTAAAAGTAACTTGCAAGTAAAAAGTAACTTGCTATATTTATTCTAATTTAAGGATAAAAGAGACACTTTTCTTAGCAGTATTTATTTTTGAAAGGTCTGTAATATTCTGTTGCTGAAAAACCTGGAACAGAACTGCATTTTTAATTTTAAAACTGTATAAAAATTATGATAAATAAGATGAGGTATCATCAAAGCATCATCTGGATTTGAACACATTAATTTCAAGGCAGAACAGCTGACATTCAGGCAGTGCAGGCCAATACAGTTTCTTCATAAGCATATGATGCTAGCAGTAGTACTTTTTCTACAAAGCAAGAAATTTATAAGATCAGACTCAGTGTTTTCAAATGGCTCAAAAGTACAAAATGGGTAACTCTCGAAAACGTATGCACCTGCAGTACTGGGAAACTGTTCTTCATAAAGTTCTACCTGCAAAACAGCTTCTTACAAACCAAAGAAAAATAAGCTGTTGGTAATCAAAAGTGGATGGAAAATAGCTGCCCAAAAGACAGAAGAACAACAGAGAAGCAAAGCTGAAACAAAGACAATTTTCCACACCTGTTACAGCTCCAAAGCTGAGGCTCAGCTGAAGCTGAAACTCAAAAAGGAACATTTATTCAATGAACGACAAGGCTACTTATTTTGAGAAATACAGCTATACTGACTTAAGGGTCAGGAAGCTAAAATAGACATCTTTGGTAACATCTGTGCTTCCCCACTTTGATGCTCTGTAACCCAAATAAATACCATACAAATGAAAAGAAAACCTATATATCTGTGAGTCTTTTTGATCTAAATACTAGTTTACAAACCTGGTAGATATTGTAACTATATAACTATCATAACTATTGAACTACAGAAGACAAGACACACATTGATGTTTCCAGCAAACTTTCAAATTAATTACAATGAAAACTCTCAAACTTTATACTGGCCTGACTCAGCAGAAATAAATACCTTATAGACATTTTGGGTTTGCACTGTTAAACACCAAGTACTCTTGGTCACTATACGTGAGTGTAGCCTACAAGCCTCTCAAGTTCCTCAGTGGGATTTTCTTACAATGAATTTCATGTTTCTGCATTAAGGGCACTACAGAATCACACTGTTTCAGTTGTGATTACGTATTTGCAAGAATTCTTAAATTCTTAAATACATATATTTAAATGATGTTTTCTCTTTCCAGATGAGAAGGGGAATACTGACTGTAAAACAAGACAGTAAGGCTGGAGTAGCTAAAAGTAACCAGAGGACAAATAGTTCTATACAAGTAAATTAGAATAAAATAGGTACCTAGATACTGCTAACAACCATCCTCTTCTGTATAATGCTTCTTCACTGAAGTCCACAAAGTCATGATTATTGACAGTGCAAGTTCTAGTCTACCAAGCCTTGGGAATTTTGAGATGCAGGGTTTTTTTAAAAAGCAACTTTCATTAGGAGTAAGAGAAATTTTAGCTCTACTTAATACAGTGGAATCACAATTTTATTCCGTTTCATGTTACATTATGTTTCAAGGATGCTAAAATAGGTTTGTTGCTATCAATCTCTCTAATGGAGTTCTCCAACAAAAGACAAAAGATACCAAATGAAGACATTAACTCATCCTGTGGAGAAGTGAGACTATTTTTAAAGCTTTGAAAGTATAACAGCAGCACATACAGCATAGAAAAGAAAAATTTCTATAGGAAAAATTCTATTAGTTTCTAACTATCACATAAAGAATTAAAATACACTTTTGAAATCCTCAGCTCAATCTTTGTTTAACCCTGTTTTAAAATTTTGTTGCATGCAGGCTTGCCAGAGTGTATCCTGCTATTTCTGCTTTCTGAAACATAACTTTTTGCTCTACTGCAACGCTTCCTAATTTTTGTCCCAACTTTTGCAGGAAACAAAATTGATACCCTCCTGCCATCTAGTGGCTAAAAAAAAACAACACCCACACCCCTAAACCAAACACCACCGGCAGATGTTAATTCAAAACTTACTTCCTTCAACCCCTTTCCCCAACAAACAGTTTCTCCCCACCAACATTAACTAAGTACTAGCTCTTTTTCAAAGAAAAGGAAATACATAGAAGGTAATTCCCCTAAACTGTGGTGCAGTCAGAAGAATCTGCCCACTCCATGACTTGTTCTGAGCCTCATGGCCTCCATGGTAAAGCAGGCTCACAGACTTCTCAGGGAGAAATATGTTGCAGCAAAGATTTTCACTTATTTCTACTTACTGCTCTTGCTAAATAAATCTCCAGTCACAGCCAGAGAATGGTGAATTGGACCTGTGAAGCTACTGGAACCAGTCTTTCTGCACAGCTTTGAATTCAGTTTCTCATTGATCTGTTCTCTTAAATTAAATTTGATGTGCTTATTTAATGATACAGGTTACTTGTTTTCCTATTGAGCTTATATATTTTAAGCAATAATAAATGAAATACAATGTAGAATTTCATTGAAAGTACTGGACAGTGATAAAAACTGCTAAAACAAAACAAAGGATCATAAAATTGTAGTCAATCTAAAGCTTTCTAGACATCTTATTTTACAGATATTAATTTCATGTTGCCAAAATGAAGCCTTGGCAATCAAGACACAGAGCCATGCTGGTTCCACCTAAAAGCACATCTAGCCTAGTATCTGGTACTGAACTAGTAATGAGTTTTAAGAATGCAAACAAAAAAAAATTGGACACAGAATATAGTCTCACAGAAACCTGATTTAGGAACGTCTTGCACCAAAGATTTTAACATCAATATTCCCACTGGACTTTTCTTCCACAAATACATCTAATCTCTTCCAAACCCATCTAAAATCTTGACATCTGCATATCTTGTGACTTTTAGTTCTACAATTGCATTCTGCACTATGTGAAAATTACATCTTACGGGTTGTTTTAAACCTACTGAATGAATTCTTAATTGGATGTCCCCTAGATTTCCTGTGAGGCACAAGGAACAATTTCTCCTCCACTGCAGTCACAATTTTAGATCATATCCCTTCTTCCTTTATGATCTCACATTCCTGTCCTATCTTCCTTTAGGCCAAAGAGTTTTAGTTTCTATAGGACAAAGACCCTGTCACTGTGTTTGGATTTTTAAGACCTTCTCTGTCAACCAGCTCATTCCTCTTAGGCAATCATCACCTTCTTCAAGAAACTCTGACAGATTTCTCAGACTTAATTATTTGAAAAAAAATTTATAGAAAAAAGGTCATAGAAATGCTGATTATTGCCTTTCCTTCAGGAATTATTAACTTTGAGTTGCATAATTTAATAATAGTATATCACCTCTTACAAAGAAGACCAATTCAGATATTAAAAGGCACATCTTATAAAGTTTAAAATAAACCTTTGAAAAATGTGTGGGAAGATTTATTAACAAACATTACATTGTCTATTTTGTATGACATGATTCTGTTAAAATTAATAATACACATACACATGATTAAACATATTTGAGGAATGAGAAAATGAGACAGAAAAAGTGATTTGCTTAACAGTACATCTAAAGTCTTCTAAGACTAAAGGATCTTCACTTCTCTCACAGATTTGTTACCCCATTAGATCATATAATAAGCAGCAAAAATAAAATTATATTCTCCATTTACTTTCCCTGAATTATACTGTTCACTTGAATGTGTATATTGAATAGTAAAAAAAAAAAAAAACCACCACAAAACTAAACCTGTCTGTAAATACAATAGTCTTTGTAATAAACACCTCTAATAAAATCTCTCTAAATCCATGAAGTTCACAATGTGAAGTAGCCATTTGTGGACATTCAATAGTATTTGTAAATTTTGCATGTTCATTTTTCATTTTTTGCATTTTCAATCATATTAGCAACTGCTTTCAGGAGTACAGACAAGTAGTACATAGTTCTTGCTTCCTATACATTTAATGAAAGTAAACATGCTTCAGTGAGACTACTATGTTTTAAAATGAAAGGGTTTTAATTTATTCTGTAATGAGTTATATCTCTAGACTCAGTGAGGCTTCTTTGTGCTACAACCTAGATGGCACACCCAGGCTTTAAACTAACTTAAATAGTCAGCAGGGGATTCCAATGATATAGGAGATTAGCTGAGCTGAATGCAGAAAAATAGATAATTAATGGTATATTTAATTCCCAGCTCCACCAAAGGGCGATGTTTAAGATGAGGGGCTATAAGTGATGCTAAATGAACTTAGTGGTCTCTTGACTATCAAATAAAGGTTATGAGAGATACTACAGGTTTCCCTGTAGGAAAATACTACAGAGAGATGCTTTAAGGTACAGACCAGATACATTAAACCGATACAACATAAACCATCTCCCTATCCAGGCCATCTATGACATTGTGGACATGGCAAACTGAACACCAAAATCCCATTAGAAGGGTAGTATCACAGGTGATACAACAATAATAGGAATAAAAGTAGTAACTTACTTTGCAAAAAGTGAGAATCTGCTACTTCTGTCTGGCTTTGCATCAACTACGTCATTGCAATCTTCCTCACCACTCTCTTGAGCAGAGCGATCAACATGCTGATCTCCCGACATCTACTAATAAAAGTACAAGAATATGCCTCAATTAACACTATCTTTTCAGAAACACTTCTACAAACCAAACCATTAAACCAGATACATGTAAGGTTGTTAGTCAGTTATACTGTATAATACTTCATCAAGAGCGGCTACAGATTTCTGGCCCTGAATTAACATGACATTGCACATGCCCAGGCATCTGTATTATCTTGTAGCAGTTACTAAAAGTGACTTGTCTAATACTTCTCCCAAAAGTGCAGATAAGAACAAAAGTAAAAATCATTCTGTGGTGAAAGAACTTATGACTAATTCCCAGAAAATTTATTATGGTCTGAAAAAATAATTGTAACTGCAATGCTGTCCAGTACGAAGACACCCAGAAAGTTTGCATAAGTCAAATGTACATAAGAGGAAAAAAACTGTATTATTTTCCATGGATGGGATCTTAGGTTTCCACTTCTCTGTTTTGTCTATATCAACACTTAATATGAAATTTATATTCTTTTAATTATTAATACATGCATACAGTTGTTAGGGAAAAAAAAAAGGTTGTGAAGTGTTTCTTGGAAATTAAAAGGTATTTCCATTACACGAAGCAGCCTCTTGCACAAGTTACTGTATTTCAGTCATTTTTCCCCCCCTTACTCCAGTGTAAGGGTGGAACATCTTCACTCATCTCAAAAGCAACACAGGGCACCGCTAGACAACAAGGCTGAGCTGATCTAATGACTTTTTCCAGATGAAAAATGGTCTCTCTCCTCTTCTTCCATGTACTGAGTTGTCCACTCAAGAAGTTTTACATCATTAAGCCGGCAGAAAACAACAAGAAAGGAGTAATTTTTCTGATAGCACAATGATGTGCACCAGCTGAGCTCGGGGTGAGAAGAGCAGTGCAGAAGGCAGTGCGGGAAGCCCACCCTCGCTTGTGGTGGGACGCACTGAGCCAGCTTGTCCAACTCCAGGCTTTCACGAGGAAAAGCAGCAGCAATTTCTGCCCCTTCCCCATATTTAGGCAGATTAAACTTGCTTTTATAATACAGTTACTCAGAAGAGTACACGTTTACATCTAGCTTGAAAACCACCCTGGTGACCTTGCAGCAGCTCAGAGGCTGGCAGCTGGGCCCTGTGGCTACACGGCCACCAGCACCACCCCAGCCCAGGTCCGGGACACTGACCGAGGTTTCTGAGCTCCCTGAGAGTAACAGCAATTCCCCAAAGCTGGGGTCTAGATTTGGCTTTGACAAATACATTTGTTAGTCATCTTTTAAAAACATAAGACTCAAAGAGCACGCAGGCCGCAGGTGGGCACTGAGGTGGCCGCCCCAGGGAAGCAGCCCCGCACCGATTTTTTTTCGGAGTGGGAGGACCCACCCCCGCCAATGCTACCAACTGTACCCATCCAAACCCCGCTGCAAGAACGTCTGCTCTCCCTCAGAAAATGGTTGTGTAGTCAGTGCGGCCACCTGAAGGGCCCAAATGCCCAGAGCTGAGGAACAGCCGCTTCCTTTCACCC